AACACTGATTTCCATACCTGCGAGGATATGGAGAAAAGAGAACCCTTGTGCACTGCTGATGGAAATGTAAATTGGTGCAGCCACTAAGGAAAACAGCATGGAGGTTCCTCAAAAACTTAAAAATAGAATTACCCTATGATCCAGCAATTGTACATTTGGGTATTTACCCAAAGTAAATGAAATGATACCTGTATTCAATGCAGCATTATTTACAATAGTTGCAGAGCATTATTTATGAAACATGGAAACAACATTAAGTATTTATCAATGGATTAATGGTTAAAGAAGATGTATCTATCAATGGATGAATGGATAAAGAAGATGTGGCCTATATATACAGTGGAACGTAAGTCACCCATAAAAAGAAGGAAATCCAGCCATTGGCAAAAACATGGGTAGATTTTGAGTGAATCATGTTAAGTAGAATAAATTAAAGAAAGACAATATATGAGATTGCATGTTCTCATGTTATGTGTGGAATCTAAAAAAAACTTATAGATACGGAGAAAATAATGGTAGCTGCCAGATGCGAATGGGTGAAGGTGGTTCAAAGGTGCAAATCCCCAGTCATAAGATAAATAAGGAATGTACAGCATGGTGACTTTAGTAATGCTGTACTGTGTGTTTGAAAGCTGCTAAGAGAGTAGATCTTAAAAGTTCTCATCATGAGAAAAAAAATTTGTAACCACGGTGAGGTGATGCATGTTGACTATGACATAGTTATTGTTAACAATAACAACTTACTGTGGTAACAATTTTGCAATATATAGATAAATCATCATGTTTTTACCTAAAACCAATAAAGCTTGAGAGCAATATGAGGAAGGATTTAAAAAGAGCCATCTGCACAGCACATGTGAAGATGTAAATTTCCAGGCATATTTTGTATGATCAGAGAAGAGGATTTCCTCAGTGTGCATTGGCAAGGTTTCTGTCCTTTGGGATTCAGAAGGAATTGTAAATGGAGCTTGCATTTTCCTGATTGGCTCTAGCATTTTCAAAAGTTGGCTCAAGCATGAGCAGTCAGCTTAAATTCATTTTTGAACACTCTCCTACTTACTGCTACTTGGAACAGTCACACAGGGTTGAGTTTGGTATGAGATAAAGAAGGACAGGAGAAAGCAGGCAGGGGTAGGTCTGAAGTAACAGAGACAGAGAATCAAAATGAACATTGAGCGAGAGATGGGGGAGGCCTCTTCTTCCTTCTATGTCTGGCCCTGTCAATCCCAAAACCGTTCCATATCTCTAATTTTCTCAGAACAACTCTGCATAGCTATTATTCCCATTCTACAAATGGCAAATCCAAAGCTCAGAAAAATTGAGAATACTTGTTCTAAGTCACATGATTAAAAGGTGGCAGTGCTGGAGTATGAAGCAGGTCTGGAGAATTCTATAGCCTCCAGGGTTCCCAGTAACTTGTGTGGCTCAAGTGCACCTAATTTGAAACTTAACTGCTTTAGTCATTTCTCCTTGCCACCATCTGGTGGATATAAGAAAATCTAGAAGGAAAACTAGCAAAAATCTGAGTGCACAGAGAAGCTGAGAGTCCTAACCAAAAAAAGATGACTGCAAACAATGACACTAATCCATCGGGAGTGCAAAGGAGAAGGAAGGACAGAGCTGGAAGGCTAAGCCCTACATGGGTTAAGAATGCAGTTGTGAGAAATCAACCCTATTTAAAAGTGCATCAAAAACAATAAAACACCCAAGAATAAAATTTAACTAAGGAGGTAAACCGTCTGTACACTGAATACTACAGTGGACCCCTCTTGTCTGTGGGGGCCACGTTCCAGGACCCCCAGTGGATGCCTCAAACTGTGGATAGTAATGAGTGCTATATATTCTTTGTTTTTTCCTATACATACATCCCTATGGTAAAGTTTAATTTATAAATTAGGCACAGTTAAAGATGAGAAACTTCTCAACAATAACTGATAATAAAATAGGACAATTATAACAATATTCTGTAATAAAAGTTATGTGAAATGTGGTCAAATATCTTATTGTACTGTACTTACCCTTTTCATGATGATGTGAGATGATAAAATACCTACATGATGATGAAGTGAGGGAGGGAAATGTAGGCATTGTGATGTATATTTAGGCTACTACTGACATTCTGATATGTCAAAAGGAGGATCATCTGCTTTTGGATCACAGTTGTTGGCAGGTAACTGAAACCGTGGAAAGCAAAACCACGTATAAAGAGGGACTACTGTGTAAGACATTGATGAAAAAAGTTGAAGAAGACACCAATAAATGAAAAGGTAGTCCATGCTCATGGACTGGAAGACTTCATATTGTTAAAATGTCCATACTACCCAAAGCAATCTACATATTCAATTCAATCCCAATCAAAATTCCTAAGGCAATTTTGCATAAATACAGAAAAAATATCCTAAAATTTGTATGGAACCATTAAACACCTCAAACTGCCAAAGTAATCTTGAGAAAGAACAAAGTTAGAGGTATCACACTTCTTGATTTCAAACTATATCACAAAGCTATAGTGATCAAAACAATATGGTATTGCCACAGATCAATGGAACAGAATAGAGATAAGCTCACACAGAAATGGGCAATTAATTTATGACAAAGGAGCCAAGAATACACAATGGGGAAAAGTCAGTCTCTTCAATAAATGGTGGGAAAACTGGAAAGCCACATATGTAAGAATGAAACTGGATACTTATCTTCCACTGTACACCAAAGTTATCTCAAAATGGACTGAAGACTTGAACATAAGATCTAAAACCATAAAACTCCTAGAATAAAATATAGGGGATACATTTTTTGACATCAGTCTTAGCAATGATTTTTTTTTTTTTATATTTGACACCAAAAGCAAACACAAGAACAAAAATAAGCAAATGGGACTATATCAAACTCAAACTGGAAAAAGGCCCTGAATAGACATTTCTCAAAAGAAGACAAATTAATGGCCAGCAGATACACAGAAAAATGCTCAGTTTCACTGATAATCAAGGAAATGCAAATCAAAACTTTAATGTCACCTCATATCTGTTAGAATGATTATTGTAAAAAAGATAAGAAATAACACTGATTTCCATACCTGCGAGGATATGGAGAAAAGAGAACCCTTGTGCACTGCTGATGGAAATGTAAATTGGTGCAGCCACTAAGGAAAACAGCATGGAGGTTCCTCAAAAACTTAAAAATAGAATTACCCTATGATCCAGCAATTGTACATTTGGGTATTTACCCAAAGTAAATGAAATGATACCTGTATTCAATGCAGCATTATTTACAATAGTTGCAGAGCATTATTTATGAAACATGGAAACAACATTAAGTATTTATCAATGGATTAATGGTTAAAGAAGATGTATCTATCAATGGATGAATGGATAAAGAAGATGTGGCCTATATATACAGTGGAACGTAAGTCACCCATAAAAAGAAGGAAATCCAGCCATTGGCAAAAACATGGGTAGATTTTGAGTGAATCATGTTAAGTAGAATAAATTAAAGAAAGACAATATATGAGATTGCATGTTCTCATGTTATGTGTGGAATCTAAAAAAAACTTATAGATACGGAGAAAATAATGGTAGCTGCCAGATGCGAATGGGTGAAGGTGGTTCAAAGGTGCAAATCCCCAGTCATAAGATAAATAAGGAATGTACAGCATGGTGACTTTAGTAATGCTGTACTGTGTGTTTGAAAGCTGCTAAGAGAGTAGATCTTAAAAGTTCTCCTCATGAGAAAAAAAATTTGTAACCACGGTGAGGTGATGCATGTTGACTATGACATAGTTATTGTTAACAATAACAACTTACTGTGGTAACAATTTTGCAATATATAGATAAATCATCATGTTTTTACCTAAAACCAATATGTCAATTATATCTCAATAATGCTGGGAAAAATAAAATGGCATTGCCATTAGCATTTTTGTAAAAATAATTTTAAAAAATTCAATTGTCGTATCCCATAATGATTTAAGAGAATAAACGCAGGATCAAGTCTTGCTTTTTCCTCTGCTAGATATGTGACACTTGAGCAAATGGAACTGGCTCTCTGAACCGCAGTTTCCTCGAGTGCAAAAAAACAGATGATCCAAATAATAGCCACTTTGCTAGTGGTTAAGAAGAGTTAGTGAGATGACGAGCAAAAGCACATAGCTCTGAAAAACATTCCTGATGGGAAATTCCTGTCTTTTTATTCATCTCTCTGAACCTTTTCCAGCATGTACTTTCTACTTCATTCCAACATCACCGGACAGGGTTTTGCTCTTCTAATACTCTCTCTCCCCTTTTCTACAATCTAATCTCTGTTCTGGAAACCGAGGTTACCTCAGACTAAAGTCTTAGCCGGGGACACTCAGTGCTTTCTTGAATGAAACATTAACTTGGAGTGGGAAAAAAACAAGTCCATCTATTTCTGCATCAACTAGAAGTTTTTCAAATGCCATCATCTTTTTAAAAGTTGGAAATCCTTCCTTAATTAAACAGGGCTTCAAATGAGTGTCTGTCATTTCCCTGACAACTGAAGTCATGGAAGGAGGCAATACACAGAGCAGGTCCTACCTAGAGTCTGCCTTGTGGCTGTTTCAACTAGTACAAAATGATCAAGTCTGGATACACACATTTAAAACATTTCTTCCGACTCCCTCTCCTTCTGTGAAAGTGGTATGCATTTGGCCCAAGGCCTGTTAAAGTTTTTCTGGAAGCAGCCAGACTTGGAACATTCAAGAACACAGACATAGGAATTGCATAAAAAGGAGGAACTCTTCGAGCCCGGTCAGAGTGAACTGCTGGCTGTCTGAGAGCAAACCTTTTGGGAAGGAGCCAGCCTCGTCACCGCGCTTGGACGCTTCACAGGGGGACGGACGTGATCACTGCAAGGGGGTTGAGCAAAATGCCTGGCAGGTGCCCCTTCATGGCTCTACTTACTTCTTGCCATTCCTCTGCCCTCCAAGTGTAGAGAGGACACAGCGGGGCTTGGCAGGCGCGCTCCGACTCTGGTCTGGTGTGCGGGTTGCACTCCGTCTCTCTGGCCACTTTGTGCGTTCCCACCTGACAGGCCACACTTCTCCGGCGCACGCCCCGGCCACAGGACACAGAACACTAAGAAGACAGACTGTGTAAGTGGGAGCTTTGGGTCATTTGAAGGGAGGTGGCAGGGGTGGTGAGGGTCACAGATATGGGGAGTGCACTCCTGACCCAGTGACTTTCCCGGCTACCACAAAGCTTTCTAATTTCCAACGGAAGGGACACAGGACAATGTCATAGGCCTGCAAACTGCCTATCAATGCTGGGGAGTGGGTTAGGAGGAAAGCGAGTCTCTGGGAATCTCTAAAGGTAACAAAAGTCTTGGGCAATTGAAGAAGCTGGGAGGGATCATTGTGAAACATTTAGTATAACCTAGAAAAAGGGCTGCCATGTGAAATGAAAACTCCAAATGATTTCTGTCCTGCAGAACTTCAGGTTCCTGAAAATTGGAGAGACAGTGTTATACAGGAAGAATGTCTTAGCGGATTAAAAGAGTAACTAACCCATGGAGAGCAAATCGCTGAAGCCTTTTGGGCCTTATAAGTAAAATGATTTTTTCCAGTCTCTTCCTTCTCTTGCTCCTATTCCTGGAGACAGAGGATTTTTTTTAAAACTTTGGAATCCACTCAAGTATGTGTATCGATTTACAACCTCAGATGAATATATAAAGAATAAAACCTGACAAGGAAAAAATCATTTCCTCAACATAGTGTTTTCAGCCCTTGAAAAATACCATTAATCAGGCTAAAACATTTTGTTGACCATATTAAGCACCATATTAAATCTGCAATTAACTCTCCTTTACATTAATTTTGTAATGGTTTCTACATTGCTGGTTTTCATAATTTCACTTGTGATCAGACCAAGAATTATTGTCTTTATTAAAGTTTTGACAGTCAGAAGCTAAAGGCGACATTTGCTTGGAAAGAACAGCACACTATGACACTTAGCTATTTAAAATTGTTACCAAGTTTTTGTGATAGTTCAGCCTCCATTAATTTGTCTGGCACTGAGAAAACAAGTTTGACATATATTGAAGCCATATGCCTAAGAGAAAGACTTCTTAAAGAACAGAAATCACACGCCTTTAACTTAGAAGGGGAATTCTTGTCCCAATAACCTACAGCAAGATTCACCTCACTGTGAGCCTAACGGGAATTTACAATCAAGAGGCACGCCCAATGGGGTCTGCTGAATATTAATTTAATTTGCATTTCAGATTTTAAGAAAATAGGTGGTATTATTTTGAAGGCAGCTCGGGAAATCATATCATTTCAGATGAATCTATGCCAGGCAGGAGCTCAAATGTTCATATCAAAACTAACTGAAAAGAAGGAAATATTTTGGCTCCCATTGTTTGGGCTTAATTGTATTAATTGGGTTGAATGAGTATGTAACCCACAAGAAACTAGACTTTTAAAGTCATTATGTCCTGGGTGGAAAGGGAGGGTTCCTGCAGACACGTGATGGCCTGGTTTATAGAGAATGGCCATTTAATTCTCACGGGAGCCACCCGGATAATATCTCCCATTGATGACACTAGCAAGGAATTACCTATAACATGGGAGAGTCACCACACAAATGACAGAGATGCTCAAACACCATAATCATCATCGTGAATAAACAGCAACGAAAAAACTCTTTGCGTATTTGAATTTAGGATCTTAAATATAAAAAGAGAGTATTTCTAGAATAATGTATCCAAGTGGAAATACAAAGAAAGAATAAGAACAATTAAGTAAGCAAATCTGAGTTTGGCACCAGGCGGGTACATATTCAAAATCTCACCATGCTTGAATAACCTCAAGATAAAGGAAAGAAATATTAAAGACTTTTAGAGCATATACTGTTCAAGCTCTAAGTAAATGAAACTTCTTTTTGATGCTATTTTTATTGAGTAAATCACTTATGGTTCAACAAAGCAAGGTATTAAGAGCCATAAGTATCAATACTTAAAAATCACTTTTTGTAAACTTCGATAATTTTTCAAAAGGCAAATAAAGACAAAGGAAGCTCAATTACATACTAGGCTTCTGAGTTTTATAATATCAAAGCCAGCCTTGAAATAGCATATTCCAATGTTTTGACATGACTTAAATGCCCACCAAGGTACAAAGTGCCTTTCTGAATACTGCATCCACAGTATCTTCACTCAAACTGAAGTGCATTGCATCAGTTAGTTCTCTGTGTTCAACTTTTCTTCCTCTGCTGTCTCAAAAGAGACCACAATTTGCATACAGAGCCAGTCAGTCTTGCTTGGCCAATTCTGAGAGATTTGTGCAGAAACCCCATGAATAAAACAGCATCTGAAAGACCTCTACGTGACCCTGGAGGTGGGCATGGTGGTGGTGTGTGCACGTGCGCGTGCTTAATTCTTCTTGTTCTATTTAGTACATCTTCTAGTTTGTAGAGGCAAAAGGCTGAGCGGCCTCTATTAGTATGTCTTACTCCCCCCACCCAGCCCCCTCCACCAGCCCTCATTCCAGCCCAGCAGGCTATTTGTGCAGGTTTGAAAGTAGATGTTTTTAGTTCTGAACTAGTGAGCTGAGAGCTACATTTCATTTCTCTGTCTTCCCTATTGCACAATGCTAGTATGCAGAACTCACCAACCTAAAGGGGTAACTTGACACTTATTTCCATTGATAAAAAGAATTTCTATAGAACTTCTGATGTTAGGGGAATCATAATCTATGCTTAAAACCCAGAAAGAATTTCACATACTTTCTTCCCATATCAATGATGAAATTATGATGGTGACATTATTGAAAGGAGAGACAGGCTTGAAAAACAACTATATGAACCAACATTAATAAATAACAGTAACAATAATAATAGCAAACTTTTACTAGGCATATACTATGTGCCAGAATCTATAGTAGGGTTTCTCAACCTAATACTTTCTTGCCAGGGGCTCGTCCTATGTGCACTGTAGGAACTTTGGCAGTATCCCTGGACTCTACCCACTAGATGTCAGTCGCATTTCTCTGCTCAGTCAAGTAGTGACAACCAGCACGGTCTCCAGGCATTGCCAAGTGTCCCAAGAGGTACAAAATCACTGCCGTTAAGAGCTTACCTCTGTGGTAAGCATTTTACATAAACTATTTTTTCTAACCAAACTCTTAAGTACATAGTCCAAAATTAAATAAAGAATAGAGAAAATCACCCTGATTCAAGTAAAAACATGAACAAGAACAAGAACGAGAACCAGTCAGTAAATTCTGTCCTGCGCAATACATGATAGCTACGGTGGACCAGGATTTGGCTTCCAATTTTAAAATACGGCACTAATATGAAGTAGCCTTTTGAACACATCAGTGAGAGTGTGGGTGAGCCACTGACAGCCAGACAGTTCACCATCAGTGCTTAGGGTTCACACACGCGCAAAATGATGGAGAGCACACGTCACCAAAGTAACTAGTTCTCATCACTGCCCATGTGCATACGGTTTCCTGGATTTCCCACAGGACACAAGCTACACATCCGCCATGTGTCTCCATTAAACACTCATAGCACACTCCAGAATCAGACACCACGACTGAGCTGTGCTCATTGTAATTACAGGAAAAGGCATGACCAAAAATGGCTGGAAGGTTCATAAGGCAAGTTGCCAGTTTCTTTTCTGGCATTAGCTCTGAAGAGCTTTTAAAAAGTATCTCCGTTAATCTAAAACACTACTGACTGCAAGACACTGCACTGTGTTTTGTATCAGTAAGAAAGAAAACAAGGGCTATTAAATCACGGCATTCCATTGGTGCCTAGGCCCAGCCTGCTCACAGGGACATTGAAGTGTGAGAATCAATTCATGATTGATGAATGGCGATGAAGTTGTGGCTTTCCTTCTAATCTGATCATTTATTCTTTTTATCTCTCATCTTCATTTTTTAAAAAGGCCTTTCTATAGGAATAGGGTAAGTTAAGAGTGTTCCACTCTGGAATGCTTGTGTGTCATGGGACACATCTATTGAGCTGAAGCAAAAATTCGATGCTCATTTGTATCTTAAAATCTCACAGGCATCCCTTAGCTCTCGATTAAAAGCATCTAAAGACGTGAACGTGAATTTTTGAAAAAAAAAAGTTTAAAAATTTTAGTGAGGTTGTTTCCCAATAAAAGCGTTCCTTTTATTGCAATACTTTCCTTGACAAATTCAAGATTTTCAAAAGATGCAGAAATGAAACATTGCACAACACCAGTTTTGAGGGACAGACTATGAAGATTAACATGGCGATACTTGTTTCCTATTCCAATATTCCACGTCTTATCATCAGACATTTTGACATGATGAGAACTTGCACTAATTATTCCTCCCCCCTTGAAGACAAGATGACTAGACTAGAGCTACCAGCAGAAAACAGAAGCACCAGATATAAAATCCTCTGAATATTTTTGCAAATGGATAATCATTATTCTTGCTTTAATATTGCTGCCTTATGGATATTCCTGTTTACACTGGATCATTAGTAAGCCAACAATCTTTAATCATGCAGGCCATCATTCTCCATCAACCACTGTGTCTGATTATTTTCAGGGATACCTCTAAATTGCATACATCGGATTTTTATCCATGCAGCACCTTGTCTTGTCTACTTTTATCATTCATTCCTACAAATCAAATCAGTGCATTATAAAACTGGTCACAGATCATTATACAACAGTGTTTATTTGCATTTTCTACAAAGGTGACTAGACTTTTCTGAGCAATCATTTTGAACAGGTGCAATCTTTTCTGGGGAGGCATTCTGACAATCCTATTACCTTACGTTCAAAAAAACCCCTAGGGTTCAAACGTAATCATCCCAACTTTGTGAGCACTTTGAGACTTCCTATCAAGATCACAGACTACTGGTGTAAAATTCACTCTGTGTTTATCAATAAAGAGGGAAAGATTCTTTTAATCATCTTTTTACTGAATGAATTGGCCTTTAAAATTGAGCATCATTTACATGCTCTAAACTTTTTACTCAGGGCAAGATGTAAATAGATAAGCAGAGGCCAAGGAACATAAAGAAAAGTAAGAGCATGAAAGTCTACAACAGGACAAGCTAATGAGCATGGTATCTTAAATAATGCTAGCTGCAGGCTCTTACACGAATTGAATCCCTCCCAAAATAAAAGCGCTGGAAGTTACAGATGACAGTAGTCATGTCAAACCACTAAGCATGACCAGTATAACACAGGGCCTTGAAATCTGATGCTTTAAGGAAGCCAGAGGAGGGATGAGCTGCGGCTGGGCACAGATGCTTTGATTGTTAAATTGAAACAACAAATGAAGAGAAAATGTGATCATTATGATAAAGGCCTTGAGAGAGCTGACACTGCTTTGCTGGGGACAGAGGCAGGCCACGCTTTGCACTGTTGTGAAGCAGAGTGTGGCTGGCGGGTACGGAGGACAAGGAAGCCAGCTCAGAGCATTTAAGAAAAATTCATGTTTCCAGAGGAATTTCCCATTAGCCATGTTGAAGTAGGGGATCCTCGACTCCTCCGCATGGTAACACGGCTGTCCAAAGCGCCTCTGGGGCTTTAGGAGGCAAGATCCAGGCTCTGAAAGAATCAGTTCTAGAGGCTGCCAACCCTGAACCTCATTTTTTTGATTCTTAGAAGTATCTGTGTGGTTCTCCACTGCGTAGCAGGATTTACAGGTTCAGTAAAACCTTACTGAAGCAAATCAGTGGAGAGAAACAGCAGTGTTAGATGCAGAATATGTGTGGAAAGAAATGGAGTCTTATTACTTTTAAATAAGCACCTATAACCAAGCCGTGGAAATGTACAAGTGCGGAATAACAAAAACTACTTTAAGGGCTAGATATGAGTGACCTGAGTCCATAGCAAGTGTTTACAGGTAAAGAAGTTTCTGAAATTCCTTAACTGAATTCAACAGGGAAACTCTCTCACACAGTTCCTGACTCAATCAGAATTAGTGGAGTCTTCAGACTAGACTCTTTAGAATTAGTGGAGTCTAACTGTAATCAGTTTCTCGGGAACTTAATTCGGCTTCTGCCTGGTTCACACATAACACTCATCCAAACAAAATATTCCTTTTAAGAGCCTGTTAGATTGAAGACCTCTAAGCTAAGTACTTGGCATTCATTATTGCATTAAATCCTAAGAGAGAAGGTCCTCTCGGTGCTCAGCCTCTGCTGTATACAAGCAAACAGGCAGGGAAGTATTCACTACTGCTGTGCATCGACAGCCCTTTCTTTAAGAACCTCAAAGGTAAGCCAACCTTACTGCAATCTGAATGAGTGGTCTTTTAAAAGTGGCGAATGATAATGAAAATGCCATCAGGGAAGTATTGAGAGGCTATCCTGTGCTGGATATCTGATATCTGCATCTACTCCCACTTACAACCAACCCTCCCCACCATCCCATTCCAAAGCGCCAAGGCTGAAGCCATCTGACAAGGCCACAGCTAGTAAGTGTCCTGACAGAAAGATTCGTCCCTCCCCGTCCCCGAGCTCCCCTTTGGAAAACCAACACTGTGCAGAGAAACAGAAGCCAGCAGGCTGGTGTCAGCCACATGGCTGAAGGAAATGAAGCAGCCGTAAGGGAGAAGCATTGCTCACCTGACTCCAGGCGCCAGCCTTCCATTTGGGGCATCTTCCTCCTCGGCACTTTCTGTGCCCATTTGGCTTAGCAAGGTGTTTACAGTAATCACTTCCTAAATGGCTTCCATCTTTTGCCATGCAGTAAACATTTCGTTGTTTATGCCCTCGACCACAAGAGACAGAACACTGAAATATAAAGCAATGGCAAGATTGTTTTGTTTCATCACATGGAGTTTGATAAAATCCTGCATGATAAGATCATGCCTAACAAGAGTCACCATTTCCCCTTTTCCAGTGCCATTTGGATAATACCTCGAGGTTCAACATGGAGGGAAGGTAGCATTGGGGAAAAAATGTCCATAGGATTATGGCAGCAAGCCTGTATAGTATTTTAGGTCACTCCAGAGTATCTTAATTCTGATAATTTAGGCCAAAACTAAAGCCCACAAACCTGAAATTACCATGAAATCCTGACTTAAAGAAGTCTTACTATGCATTATAAGGATTCCTTTTGCATATATTACTTCATGCAATCTTTGATCAAGAGATTTCTTCATAAAATGCCTAGTGATTCATTGATTTGGGTAAAGGTGTCTTTCCAAAATACAACTGTGTCCAATTTCATAATTAAATGATTTAAGGAAATTCTTCTGCCATTTTGCAGAGGATAAGCTCTCATGCTCCCAGTCCACTGGGAAGGAGGTGCAAAAAGCAAGCCAAAAACTGAAAGGTAAGCTGCAGGTGAGTCTGTGCCAGTTTGGGGAGAGAGGCATTACCTTTCAACTTTGATCTCTGGGTTCACTGAACTGTTTTAAATGTGACCTTGTCTGACCACATCTAAGAAACTTTGATTTCAGATTAGGTTTCTCAGAAAGGTTTAGGAATCAAAGCGCCCGTGGAGTCAGGACAAAAATTTGGTGTGACAGCTTTTGTACAACAGGCAAGTGGCCTGCCCTAGTGAGGGCACAGACACTCAATGCCCGCTGCCTCATTAGCGGTTACAGAAGTCATTACCGCTTGGGTCAGAAGCTTGCTGGCTCAGATTTTCAGGACACATTATTACTCAATATGGCATTTTTTGCTTTTTAGAGGGAAATGAGTTTAAGAATGAGGAACAAAATGTGAAAGCACAATGAAAACAGATTTCAACTGTCATTTCCTTCTGTTCAGTATTTCTTATTTCCCCACTACATGATTTTGTTAAATTACCGAAGTTCCCTTTTATGCTTAATAGTAAAATATATAGCCTAATATTGATGCAACCACCATTACCAAGTATGTTCAAAGTTATGCCATCCATAAATGTGCCAGACATGTTTTTCTAGTCAACACAAGGCATTATAAAAATTTCTATAGTAGCTAATAGAGAAATTTAAAATATGTATATTAATGGATTTGGCCATAACTTTTTACTACAGGTGATGGAAACATTGCTGTTTTCAATTTGAAATTGCATCTTATGACTTTTATGATTTGGAGTAGTTATTCTGGAAATCTTGATAGAGTCTACAGTGTGGAAGGAAGGAGCCCAATTTGAATATCTGTATTCAAACAAAAACATTCATCTTCCAACCAACAGTGTTTTGATGTATACAAAGACTCTGGGATATAATTCTAGAAGGCTTTAAAATGAAGCTACTAGGAATATCTCTATAAATCAATCATCTAATGATGTACACAGACAATCTCTATTATTAGTGACTAATTTTCATACTTAAAAATGTTATTTTGACAAAAATATAATATATGGGCACAATTAGAATTTGTTTATTCAACAAACATGTACTGAGTACCTACTAAATTCCAAGAATTGTGCAAAGTGCTGGGAATACAGTGATGAACAATCCCTGCCCTCATAGAGCTGATAGACCAGAGAGAGAGAGAGAGAGAAGCATTAACCAATCATGACAAAAGTAAATACACACTTATTAACTGAGAAGAGTGCTATGAAGGAAACAGGCTGGTGTGGGTGTAAGAGGGCCCCCTGAGGCCAGTCCCTGGAGCAAGACTACGCTGAGCTGGTGGGTCCCAATAAAGTATTTAGATTTTATTCTTTATAAAATGGAAAATCACTGAAAAGTTTTAAGTCAGAGTAAGACTTAAACGGATTCCTGTCTCAAAACTACCTTGACAACCCAGTGAACAGTGGGTGGGGATACAGCCTGAGTGGAACCAGGAAAATGCTCAGGACACTAGTGCATCTGTCTAGGCAAGATGTGATGGGGGGATTAGATCAGGGTGCAGGGTATCGGGGTGGGGACATTGGTGGATTTAAGGCATATTTGTTAGAGGTAGAAGGATACTTCTGGTAGATCACGAGGGGCAGGCGGGGGGGGAGTGGGGAGGGGCAGGGAAGACTCCCAGGTTTCTGGTATGGGTAACTGGATAGATTGTGATGATATTTATGGAGACAGGAAACACAGCATTGGGAATCAAGGATATATTTATTTGCAGGAAATAGGCAGAACTTAAAAGGTATGGACTCATGGGTGGTAAAGTGTGCTTCATCAGGGTGAAGAAACAGACACAGCTGTAATCAGAGGACCATGGCGAACTCAAAGTAAGCCGGCCTTTGGAGGTAGTCATTTCAACACACAAACCGAGCACCCAAAAGTCATCACTTAACATGAAGGGGAAAGAGAGACTTGACAGAAATAAATACTGATTTAATATTCTGCCGTAGTCATCGGAAAAGATAGCCTAAAAATAGGCAGCCATCTACAGAGGCAGAATCAGAAGGCAGTGCTTGCTCACACTCATTATGCACTCGGCACCGTGCTAGGACTCTACCCGCATTATCTCATTTACCAGCTCAGTAACCACGGAGCGAGGTACTATCATGGAGACAACCGTGCTTCCAAAATGGCATGACCACAATGCTTTGTATACACCTTTTCCACATGACTTCAAGACAAGTAGATAGGTATCTCTCAGGACCAATAACAGCACAATGAAAACACATGATCAACATCACCGATAGTAATTCCTCTGAGGGGCACCATGTGCAACCAGCATCTATTGCCCAGAAAATGAAGACAGATGACATGGTTTCTAAATATGATGCCTTATAATTTTTAAAATATCTGGATTAGCTGCATTGCCATTCATTCCTATGTGCATTTTCTTATTCGGGGGCTTGAATGGAACTGACTTTGAAAACAGAATGCAATACTTCAGCACGACTCACTATACGTATCATTGGCCTTAAGTAAGATCTAAAAGCAATCACAAAATTCTCAATGTATCTGATCAGAACAAACACTTTCCGTTTCATGCTTCCTAACTTACCAATAAAGAAAAGCAGGTGCTCATGGAAATGTTCGTATCTAACAGATCTATTGATGGGTCAATTATAATTTCATAAAGAACCTGTCGTTTTGATAATCAAATAAACACAGGTTTCAGTTCTTATATTCCAAGGGAAATTTCCATCTGATGATTTTGCACGGACTTCTGCATCAGTGTGTGTCACTGAGCTATAATACATTTAGTGCATCCCCTAGTACATGTTATTTATCAGCTACATACCTAGAGTTCTTGCTCTGGGTAATGTTTAGTTCTTTAAATTTGCAGCTGAAATAGTCTCCTAGATTAACAATAGGACTCTCACTTTTTTTCTCTGTGAAAACAACCCAAAACTTGTGTAAGAAAATGGTGTTCCCCCAACTGTAAGCAGCACTCCCAAACAATGTAATCTCTGCTTCTTTCTTAGAAACTTCAAGGTCCGTATCCCAGATGCCTGACTCGCAGTCTTTTGTTTCTATGAGGCCATTCAAAGGGGATGTTTAATGTGGAGCTTGCTCAGATACGGCCTTTAACACTTCCCGTGAACTAAGGTCCAAGAGGTTGGAATCCTTGCTTTTCAACTCAAGGCCCTGGCAGTCTGCTGAGTGCCTGTGCCGAGGGCCTGCTCTCTCTCGGGGGGTGGCTCGGGGAACGGTGCAAACTGGGCCTGTGTCTGCTGTCCCCGCCGCTAGTGATGCCCTGCGACAGTCCTTGCACTGATGTCGAGGCGAAGGGTGTCTCAGTCAGCAAGAGGCCAGCAGACAGCCCCAGTGTGTCTGCCTGGCTGGGAAGGGCTGACGACCAGGCGAGAACGGGATCTCCAGGCTGGCTGAGGCTGCCGAGAACACAGGCATCCAGATGAAGAGGGCGGACTACCCAGAACGGGTAAGGACACCAGAGGGAAGAAAGGAGTGAGACGGGGAGGGAGGAGATCAGGGAGGCCCCAGAACCAGGCCAGAACGGAACTTGCCGATGGGCTGGAAGATGCTGGGGCTTAGAGGAAGCACGGAGGGATGGCTATGGGCCAGGACTGCCTAAGTTATTATAAATGCTTGATACATAAGGCTAATGGACAGTCCAGGGGGATGGCCCCAGCAGAGTGTCTGGGCCCAGTTCTGTATATCTAGGTAAAGTCCATCTCCAAGTGGTCTAGATGCATGAGATTCAGTTCACACGAAATGTGTTATGCAGGATGCTTATCAACTAGTCCGTATTTCCAAGACCAGGATTGGCTGACAGGTTAGAAATAAGGAAGAACTGAAAGTCCAAGAGGAAAGTCATATACTGGAAACGACTACCAGGTTAAATCAAGGCTCCTAATCTAAGGACTTTGACTACCAGGTAGCTTAACCATTACTCTAAGACTGCTGGGCAGAGTTCAGTTTTGAGACAGGAGACTGAACTGATTATTATTCAAGGCCTTTCCCTTGTGATTCTTTAAAATACGAAAATAACATCTAAATCCCTTTGTTGAAAAAGTATTCAGTTGTGTCTTTTCATAACAGCAAGCTCTTGTCAATTCTACTCTCATTCTGACAAAACATAAACTCGAACCTCATCTGGAAAGGACACTCTCAGAAAGGAGGCGATGCCTGAACCAGGTGTAGGACTACCTCGCCGATTACGCTGATGAACGAACTAAGTACTGCATGAGCACCACACCATCAAGAAAGGCAAAAGGGAGTTCAGACTTACTCTCTCCAGGGGATGTCTGCTCCACTGGAGACAGTGGGCACAAGTACACAGACTCAGGGATCAAAGTTTCAGACACTGCTTAGTGGAAACCTAGAAAACCCCGTGGGTGTGTCACATAGGAAAAAAAACAGTAGCTGCTACTCACACATGTTTATTTACTGTCCTCCATGCTGCAGGCAGCCAGTAAATATTTACGAAACTGAATGAACACATGAAAGCTGTAGCCATCACAGAAGAAGTGTACTATAAACTAAATGTCATGTTTTCCTTAAAGTCACAAAGAAAGAATCACCTGGAATCTGACCACAGTGCTAAGACTGAACTAATTTGGCAAAGTTATCCAGATTCCAAACCCCACCTCAAGAGAACTCTTTCTTTTGGAGCAGAACTATTAGAAATCATAGTAGTTAGCTTTTATAGAACTCTTACTATGAGTGGGAAACTGGGCTGTTATTTAATCCCAATAGCAATCTTGTGGCTCAGGCATATTAGGATTCCTTTTAACAGATAAGGAGACTGAAGATTAAAGAGGTGACATCACTTGCTCAGGGTCACAGACCAGGAAGCAGGAGAATTAGGCTTAAATATAGCACGTCCCTCTCCAGAGCCACCATTTTTGTCCTTAAGGAATACTGAAGAAAGGGCCTGGTTAAGAAAATAGGATGCTCACCTCTGCTTACCTAGAGCAGTAACAGAAAGCAAGGGCCTCAAAGAAACGTCTCTTATTCTAGAAACCTCTGATTCCTTAGTCTTCCAGAACAGAGTGGCTATGCGATGTTTGTATTTCTGACTTTGATAATTTCTTTGCAAGATCTTTAAAACCTTGGGAAGTAAGATATTATGAGAAGCAAACATACAATCACATAAACAAAGGGCCACATTTCCTTTTGGCCAAAGCCACACCCTGATCTTCTCTGGACCATCTTCCAAAGTTCATCCATCCTCTGGGGCCTGCCTGATTCCACACGGTGAATGATGGTTTTGTTCACTGCTGAGTAGCTCTTGCATGCTCACGAGAAGAAGGCTGCAGGTTGTAAATTTTGGCCTGTGTATTGACCAAGGACTAATCTCTTATATGTCTGAACTGTGGGGAAACTCGAAGTTTCCATCTATGTATTTTACAGTCCATCTATGTATTTTACATACTGAAATACATACTGTATTTCAGTCCATCTATGTATTTTACAAATTCAACACTAGAGAAATGAAGTGGCATGCTCGGAGTCATCCGACAAGAAGGAGTAATACAGGCTTAGGACTGTGAGCTTCTGACCTCGCACCAAACACTATCTGGTGCCAATTGCACCAGGGATTTGTGGCCAGGTTCTGGTGTTTTTCACGGTGCTCAAGAACAGCTAACCAGACACCTTGATGCTTTCTATTCCAAGTCAGTCATGCTTACAAAGGGCTAACATGATGGGTAGGGACTAGAAAGGCAGGCAAGAAATTCTGCACCTCTGGCTCGGATGGACTGCAAACACCAACATGAACAGGGGTGAGTGTAACAATCACTAGCCCTAAGGTACCAGTCAAGAGCAAATTCCAAGAGGTGGACGTGTCTGGTGCCAGCACAGGGAACAGCAGCTCGCCGCTCGCCGTCACTTTGCTCTGACTTGCAGCACTTCAAGGCATGGATCTGGAGTCGAACAGATACACACTGGAATGCCATCTGCCATTTTACAGGGATGCCATTTGGAGCAAATTTCTTGAACTCTCTCAGCTCAGATGTGTTCTCTACACCACAGGGATAACAGCCCTGCCTATACTCCGCGGTATGTCACAATTCAGTAAGATAATGCATTCACACAGAGCTCTTGGGGTTCTGGCCCCACAGTTTAAAAATCAATACACGTTCATAGTCGCCACTCCTCGTGCTTCTGTTCAGCGGAGTGTCTCAGAATATCTGCCAACATGTGGTCAAAAGGTGAGTATTTTTAAGAAACATATGTTAACTAATAGAGTCTAAGATTAATATCCTAACACAGACATTGCTGAGTGAAGGAGGGACTCAGTCTGGCAAAATCTCACCCCTGTGAATGGGTGGAAAGAGTTCCCTTCCAAAGGTCACAGAGAAATCACAGAGCAGACGTCAGTGTTGAAGATCCCTTCTCTTCTGCGGTGGCATTTTCACTCTTATACACTATTGCTTATTCATATGGTTTTGTCTCACCAGACAGGACAGAAAGATCCAAAAAAGAAAGATACCACATGTGAATGCCACATCTCTTTTCTACTCCATCATTTCCTGCTCAGACTTATTATCTCAGGAACTACTTATGTTTCTCATTTGGTTTTTGATAAGTCATTTCTTTAAGAGTCCTGAAACACAGAATTAACATCAGTGACCACCATGCCTGAATACATGTTCGTTCTGTCACTCCCGAGCTCTGCTCAGCCTGGCTGTGGGAGTGGCCCCAGATCTTTGTGACAAAGCAGATCTCTGCACTGGCGAGTATGAACACATTTAGGGGAGTTTCTGTAGGGCTGCTCACAATGCAAGAATGGCTCTGAACAGGGACATCAAGGAACCAGAATGACTGAGGAAGAAGAAGAGAGAGCTTTGCCAGGAAACAAGGGCTCTGACTTCAGGGCGTAAAGCCAGTGTTGACAGGCCTGCCTGATGGCTGTTTATGTCCAGGACCACCATGGCACTTATTACCATGAAAAGGAGCTGAGAAAGCATGAGATTGGCAGGGAACACCATGGGAGAGAGCAGAGGCGGGAGTCACGTTCATTGCAGCCGGATGGGGCATGAGCCCATCCTTCCACCCCAGCTGCTTCCAACACCCCCAGCTTCTGAGTGCTACAAAGGTCTAAGACTGTGGGAGAAAAGGGACTCATATTCACACGCCAACTCTTGGAGCACACTTCAAGGCTGCTGTCAGTATTATAGCCAAGTAGGTGGCCCTGCATATGACTCACAAGGGAGAAGGCTGGGCTAGGCCCACAAGGGGAGACAGAAAGAGATGCTGCCCACCTCCCATTACCCTCAAGGAATAAGAGGCATAGGGCTCTTCAGCTGCCTTCTCTTAATCTCCTAACATAGTAACTTTGTCTTAGAGGAGGAACAATGTTAAGTTGTTACATTTTAACATTTAACACGTAGTGTTAAATGTTAACATCAAATATAGCAGCGTATGAAATTAGCCATGCAAGTTGTAAAACCCAAACTAGGGATCTTTTTGTTCTGCAAGACAAAAAACAGAAGACAGAAACAAAGCCAAGAGAGAAAGCAAAAACCAAGGGACTGCAAAGCAGCAGCTGGCAAATTCTACCCTGGCCACATCCAGTGGTGACCCAGGAATCTACGGCATGTGCCACCCCCGGGCCCTGTTATCCCAGCGTGCCCTCTGGCTCCCCAATCCCAAGCACACTGACTATTTGTATGTGACTTCCTTTCCCTTCCAAGGTTATACAGGATGATTATTTGTAAGCTGACTTCAGCAGGAGGATGGTAACGGCATTTTTCAGGAATGCAGCAAAGATGGTACAAGAACCCACACTCTGCTTGTACGGGATCATGAATGAGGGCAGTGTGGAAGACAGGGAGGGTGGTAGGTGAGATACTTGTTCCAGGATCCTTACTCTCGGCTATTACAGGGGAGAGAAGAAGTATCTGAGTAAGTAATTGATGGAAAAGCTATGGCTGGTGGGACTGGTGACCGAAGTTGCTTGGTGCCCAGAAGGTGGCCTATAATTGAAGGCCCAGGCTGAGGGTTCAAGGCTGCCTGGAGGTGTCATTCTGCTAGAAGATGACAATGCTCGGGAACACTCACTCATGACTTATGCTACTGTCACAGGCCATCAGGAGCAGACCCAGGAAGCATAAGTCCCCTCTGGGAATGCTTCTGCAGAAAAGTGAGCCATGCCCAAAGCGATCCACGCAGATTGTCTCTAACCTTTCACCTACTTAACCAATGTCTAGCCCCTGAACCTCTTCCTCCTCCCAAAGAGCTAGTCTATGTGATACTCAGTCCTTCAAAACTTACCAGGACAAATTTCATTCCGCTGTCCCCTTCAGTCTTACTTTCTCTGCTTCTCTGGCCCTTATTCCATTAGCTTGGTGTGAAAAGAGTGATCTTTACATGCCAACATGTTACACATCTTTCACTGAAAAATCTGCGACTCTTTTGGGAAAGTAGTTCATATGATTGATTTGCTTTTGGGTGGATATTAATCCCACCTCAAAACAGAGATGCATACATATCTGAGCCTGTACCCAAAGAAACATTCTCAGCACAAGGGAAAAAGCTACCTTGACCACACTGAATTACAGGCTCAGCCCCTAGCTCTGCATTGCTCTGCTGAGAGTTCAAATAGGGCCGAGTCGCCATCAACAGGCACTGTCCTTGGTGGCTTTTCCAGTCTCCTCCTCCTGCTTACTTACCTCCGTAAAGGAACAGCTCAAAATTACCACTGTGAAAAAGTGAGACGAGAGATAAAAACCTGCTAAAATGTAATGGAACACTTACAAGTGGCTAAACTAATGTTTGATGGTTTTCTGTGAATTTAAATGTGTCCCACACTATTCTGAGATTTATTTAAATAGAAACCCAATGGTTGGGGCGGAAGAGTGTGGTAGTTATGAACTCAGTTTTGGAATCAATCAAACCTGGTTGTACCAGTAATTACTCTCTCTTCCTTTGTGATCTTAAGCAAGATGCTGAACCACAGCAAGCATCTCTTTCCAGTTCTGTTCAATAGAGATATGAAGTGAGGAATAAGCATCTGAGACGTAACGTGTCCAAATCAGAGTTCCTGACCTTCCTCCACAAATCTCTTTTTCCTATAGTCTTCTCCATTTCAACCAAAGGGACTCTACCCTTCCACCTGCCAGGGCACAAAATTTGGAGTCACCCAATTGCTCTCAGTCTCTCATACCCCATATCAAACTCCCAGCTAAAATGCTCAGTCACTGCCTTAAAAACACATCAGACTCCCCCTACTTCTCACGGTTCCCATTGTGAGCACTGAAGAGCCAGGGTCTTCCCTCATCAGAGTGCCTCCCTAGTGGTCTCCCTGCTTCCACCTTTGTTCCTCCCGTAGCATCTTCTGAATTCAGAAATCAGGGTCAGTCTTTCAAGACAAATCCTGTCCCTACTGACTCTCCCATTCCCCTCCCTACCTTCCCGGGAGTCTTCCTACCTCGCCGAACGTGAGTGAGGAGCCTGCCAATGGTTCGACCCTTCCTTTTCTCTCTTTCCCCCAAGATCTACCTCCACATTCCCCTCCCTCAGTCTCATCTCTCGTTTCATATCCTATCACCCACCCCACTGTCTTCCAGCCACGCAGGCCTCCGAGCTATTGCTGATGTGTTCCTGGCATACTGCCACCTCCTCGTCTTAACCTGCAATACTTCTCTCTTGGGTATCCACGTGGCTGGCTTTTGTGTTTTCCCACATCTCTGATCAAATGTCATCTTCTTAATAGAGATTTGCCCTACCTCCTTAAAATTAGTTCCCATCTCCTCTTCGTGTTCTTTTCTATCCCTCATCTCTTATTTTTATCTAAGACATTATCTCTTTCATAACATATATTTTACCTTTTTTGTTTTGTTTGTTATTTATAGGTTATCTCCCCATCCCCAACTAAAGTAAGGTTGATGACATTAAGAATTTTTATGTGTTGTTCACTGCTATGTCCTCAGGGGCTAGAGCAGAGCCTGGTTTATAGAAAACACTCAAATATTTATGGAGTACACGAAAGATTGGATGAACGAGTGAATGAAAAGTATCTCATAGAACCTAGAGCCACTTATCTCACAAGAATTTGTAAGGATTAAATAAATACCTGACACAATGCTCAGTTCATTGTAAGGAGGGAATCAGTAACTGCTGCTCTCTCCTATCTCCTGTGTCTACTGAGTCCAAAGCTGGCTAAATACTCCAGTGGTTTAATATTTAATTCATACTTACAGGAATATGGCACAGGGGACATCTAAGAGGAGGGTTACCTGACAATGTAATACAATATAAACAGCAAGTGGCAGAAGGTAGGAACTCAGGATATGACACTGTCCTGCAAAAGCAAGACTAACCCTGAAAGCGTGACTCTGAGCCATGGAAACCATCAAATACCCCGAATGTCCGATAATGTTTTTCCTCCTCAAAGATGTCACATAAGAATGACACTTTTGCCTGATAGAAAAATGTAGGTATGCAGACTGAAATCAAAGTATAAAGCAATGTAGTAGACAACGATGGTTCCATCTAGGCCAAGGACTGTCTATCTCCATTCTGGCTGGAAACATCTACAAGTTAAAAAACGAAGACTTGCACTTCTGTTTCAAAACAAGATGCTTACGTTTGATCCTGATTTATTTAAATGTTTCCTGTCATTTAGAAAAAGGCTCTTAAAGTATAGGATATCCAGGACTATAAAACCAACATCAAGCCTGAGATTTTTAACTGTAGAGTGAATCTGATAGAAGTGAATCACTGCCACCCTCATGCACAGTCCCTACAATCTAGCTACCACACGCCTCTCTACTAAGTAGGATAATTGTTACCCAAATATTAGGAGCAGACTGTACCTCGAATGATCTAGTTTCTTCATTTTCTTAGACCTTTCCTTAGCGATGTACCAATTCACATCTTTCTAGGGTGCTGTAACCGTCCAAGGAAAAGCCGGCTCTGAGTTCCATTGAAAAACATTCAAAGCCAGCTGAAGTGCTAAAATTGTTTTACTCAAAAATGTGAATATTCAGCTACCTCTAACTTTTGGTAAGTAAAATAAAACCAGGAACCTGGCCCAAAACTCTTGGGAAACATTCAGATCCTAAGGACTCAGCTTCAGTGGCTTTTAAAAAGCAGAGGAAGTTTCCACTTGGGTAATAGCTTGTTTTTTTCATGTTTCACAAATCCAAATGAATGTTTCTGCAAGTTCTGAAAGCCCTACTGGAGAAGAAGTAGAAAAGCATGGGGCTTGGGAGTTGGCCAGTTCTGGGTCCAAGAATTACTGACTGTGTGATGTTGGGAAACTTGCTTAGCCTCTCTGCAGCTCAGTCTTCTTACATTCACTGTGTAAAGGAGGTCCACTTTACAGAGATAATACAAAGTAGGCCAGGGCTTGGTTCACAGCAGATGCTCCTTAAATGGGGGCTTTTGCTATTATTTCTCCACTTCCGGTCAAACCTATCAGACCAACTGCAGGTGGACACCTTTATGTGCCACATCAAGAAATGGAAAACAACTGGTCATTAACTGGTGATTGTAATGTGGAGAAGAAGCTCATTCATTTAGAAAAGTGAGCTTTTTAGTGGTAAATGCATCTTCTCATTTACTCAGGGGAGATTTTCTTGTGTTCAATTTATAGCTTAAAATCACTGGTAAGATTATAATTGAGTAAAAGGCAAAACTCAATTTCTAATTTTAAAGAGATTTTTACACAGTCTACTGATAGTTTAAGATTCCAGTTAATCCCGGGAGGTGGCATCCACATGACTTATGGTGAACCAAGATCACTTCTACACTGGGCACCAGTGGGCATGTCCTCTTTTAATAAAATGTTCCATGGTCTTCCATCAGATAAAGTTTAGATATTGTGGGAAGAATCCAATATTTCATTACCACATAGGTCCTGCCATAAAACTTCTCTGAGTTAATGACAGTCGTCTTGGATTCATTTTGCTTGTCTTTCCTCTACCACTAGATTTCTTTTCTAGTTTGAAAGTTTTGGAGTCACAACTAGTATTTATGGCCATTGTCAGTGACCTTTTTGAAGGAGAAGAACTGAGATTGATTCCCCTTCTAGGGCCAGGAGCTGCATCATGTAACACACTCTCTAACCCACCAGTGTCAAAGCTGAGCCTGTGATTCTGAGCGTATGTATGTGTGTCTTTGTGGCACAGCAGCTGGAGGTGGCAAACACACAGCGTTCACCATCTGCTAAAGCCGGAGATATTTGCAAGGTGGAAAAGGGGAGATATGGAAAGGTGGAACTTCCCTAGAGGTTCCTGTCCTGAAAAACCATGTTAATGCCACACATCTGGAAAAGCTGACCACATATGCAGAGCTTCCTCTGATGGGTTAAAACAAAACAGTTGGTGGAGAAATTACTCATGGTGAAAACCTGGTGAGCGCTACAACATAACCATTCATCTTCCCTGAGAGGATGAAGGTAACAATTTTATTCTCTAAGACTTCCATGACTTAAAGAAACAGAGATTTGGTATCAAACATATTTGGGAAACACTGCAGACTATCCCTGCCTAACATTCTCCTGGGAGAACATGGGAAGACAAGTTGTGCTGTAAGAAATCCACAGAGCTACAGTGAGGAGATGATGTTACCCCCAGGAGACATTTTGCCACGTCTAAAGACAATTTTGGTTATGGTGACCGAGAGGACATGCTGCTGGCATCCAGTGGGAAGAGGCTAAGAGTATTCCTAAACCCTCTACAATGCACAGACCAGCCCCTCACAACAGAGAATTATCTGCTCCCAAATGTCATCAGTGCTGAGGTTGGGAAGCCCCACTGCTTACCTGTTTATAGCTCACAGAATACTTGCTGAACCACTGTCTTAGTCCCCAATCAGAAACTCAATCTGCACCTTCCTAGATATAATGCAAATGTGGAATCAATCCTACTTTTAGAAGGGTACCCAAAAGAAAAACCTAAGTAATCAAATCTGACACCAATTCCTAGACATAGTTGGACCATTACGTATGTGCAAATTTTATCATAGATGAGGACGTGGCGTTTGTCTAAAAAAAAAACAAAGAAAACATATACTTATGAACTATCAGTGCTATCAGAATAACCCAAGGGGATGAACATGTTAGAGTGACCTTTGTCTTCTCAGAAATGCCCATCTCCATTTATGCCTTTCTTTCCAAAGTTGGTCTCTCCTACCAGAGTTGCTCTGCATAATGTCTGTGTCATATGGAGCACAGCTGGACACATCTGCATGTCCCTGTCCCCCTCCAAAAGAAAAAAAACCAATGAGTGACACTGCCTGTTGGTTTGCAAAATCATGGTCTGGTAAGACAACTTTGAGACCTCGTATTTTCAGCTCATCCTTGAAAATCTTTGACCTTGATAGCTTCCTTGTGATCTCACATAGTATTTTATGGGAAGTACAACTCGCCAAAGAGAAGTTTTCTGATAGCTAACCAGTGTCGTTCCACAGGGCTTGCCACTGTGACTTCAACTTTGGCTTCTGATTATGGGTCGTTCCTGTTCTCACCAGGTATCCCCTAGGGTTTCTCAACCTTGGCACTATATCAACATTTTGGGTGAGATAATTCTTTGTTGTTGGGGACTGTGGTGCACACTGTTGGTGGCTTGGCAATACCCCTGGCTTCTAGTCACTAGATTTCAGTAGCACCCCCAACCCATTTGTGACAACCAGTATCTCCAGACACTGCCCAATGTCCACCAGAAGTTAACAAAAATCAACCCAAGTGAAAACCACTGAATTATCCCAAGGTTTTCAAAAAGTCCTTCAACAAGTTCTCAAAACAGAACTGATTTTAATTGATTTGAGGGAGTGGGAAACACAGGGCTCTTTTTTGGATGGGAGTGTGCAAGGGCCTGTTGAGCACCAGTCCAACAAGATCAAGATCTTAGGCTAAAAGGGTTGGCAATCCTGGTCTATAGAGAATGTGACACATACAACGTGAAGTCAATTCCCACATGCAGCAATGAAGATCCCAAGTACAATAAATAAACACACCCCTCTGGGCAGCACTTCCGACCCTGACGTCATGTCTGTGTCCGGCTGTGGCTAAGGATTCCTAGGTATTACTCGTTTCATTAAGAGACAACCGATGACAAGCAAATAATGATTTCACTAATAAAGAGCAAATTGCAATGCAGAAACAGATGAGTTGGTAGAATGAGGGCATTTTATTAAGTGCAAGGGAAACAAATGGCACAGTGTTTTGGAAAAACTTTAGTTTTCAAAGGAATCTGGGCTTTGAACCAGGAGCAGTGGATAAAAAAGGTGAGTCTGCATAAGGCCAAGTGTTTACTGGAATTTACTGGCAAGACTTGAAGTGAAAGTTTGGATTTCCCTGAGAAAAGAGGAACAAAAAATACACTGTTCCCAGAGGCCTTTCCTATGAGCTGCATGGGTGGGAGGGGAAGCAGGGAGGGAGAGAGAGAGAGAGGAGACAAGGAGAGAAAGTCATGGGAAAAATCTAGTGAAGACTAGGAAAGATTCTGATCATGCCGAGTTCTGGCTAGAGCACCTGTTCTTATCAGACCGTACAAAGCTGAGATTAAAAATGGCTTCCTAAAATGTGGCAGAACATTTAAAGTCCTGAAGCAAATCCAGATCTCCTCTTTGTTGCCTTGTGAAGTAAAATACACACTCTGAAATACTTATGTTTGAGAAATTTAAAAAAGTAACTTACTTTTGAAAATCTCAAACTTCAAGAAAAATCGCGAATATCGCAAAGAACTCCCCTGTCCCCCTTATGCAGACCCTCCAACTGCCAACATGTCTGCCTATTTCCCTATGTGAAGACATGTACACCACTATTATTTTGCTCTTTCTTCAACAATTTGAGAGCAATCTGCAAACATGATGTGCCATCATCTCTAAAACTCTATAGTTTCCCTAAATCAAGGACAGTCTCCTACATAAATACCATACAACTCTCCACACCAGGAAATCACCATTGATATACCACCACCATTCAATCCTATGTGTTTCTTTTTAATGATTCCCTCCTACAAGTTAGATCTTTATTTCCATATTTCGAGGCCAATGTCATAAGGATTTTAGCTCCTGAGTAGCTGGGCTCACTCATTCATTCATTTTGATATGGTACACAGTATGCCTACTTTGAGTAAGGGACCAAGCTTGAAGAGCAGACCTCTTCAGCCCAGAGGAAATTAAGGTTTGGGGCAATTAAATATAAGATTGGGCTAACAGGTTTTCACTTGAGACATAGTGGCTACATCTACATTTCTTCCTTTGTCCTGAAGCAAACCAATTGTGTTTTCCATTTTACCTCTCTTCGTCTTACCCAGTTCCCTACCCATAACCATGTCTTATCATTTACTGCCACATGTACAGAGGAATACAGCAGTGTTTGGGAGAATAAGGGGTGAAGAGGGGAAGAGAATTCAAGGACAGAACTCAAAGTGGTTGACTGTCCAACGAACGGGAATGAACATTACTTAGCATTGCTGAGTTCAACCCATATAGCTTAGTTTCAGCTGAAGAAAGAGTTCGGAAGGTATCTCAAGGCATTTCTTATATTTTATTTCAAGCAGAGGGTTATTGGTATGAGATCACTGTTTAATAAATTTTAATTTCATTTTTCATAATCCACTTGTATTGCAGCAGCATTTTACATTCACAACAAAACTCATCACCAAAAACATCTGCAAATCCCGTAAGTGGTTTTAACAAATCTGATCTACTGGCCTGACTGTATATCTACTGAACAAAGAAAATGCTTAGATTTATTATCTCAAATTATTCCATTTCTCTTTGCAATATTAAAATCTCAGAAACATCACCCAGTGTGTGCTTAATAAATACTGGCTGCTCTTTTCTTAATCTTCTGAAAAGCTCAAATCTTGCTCTTTACTTGGTTTGATTTTAAGAGAACAGTTTTCTCATATTCATTCCTTTAGAGCTTTAAGAAAAATTCTTTAGGTCAAGAATTTCAGCACGTTTCAAGTAGTTACAATTTGGAAGAACAGAAAATCTGAAGTTGTAAACCTCCTGTTTCTATAGAGGTTGCGTTTCACTGCTTCACCACTAAGCAATATGAGGAAATTGTATTTTGATTAAAACCAGGGGCTTGAAAGGCAGAAAGTCCTGGGTTCAAATCCTTGTTCAGACACTTCCCAACAGGGTGACCTAGAACCAGGTAAACTTCTCTAACAGTGCTAACTTCATCAAGTAGAGGATTAAATTAGATAACATGAATTGCTTTGCATAATTCCTAGCAAAAAGTAAGTGTTCCAAAATGTAAATGATTGCTATAATAAAAAAATCAAAGCCCTCCCTATAATTTTGGAAGGAAACACATTGTGCAAAATTAAGTGAGGGGAAAACAGCTCTTGTGTGTATAACTGAAGCTATTAATTCATCCACTTCCCAAGATACTTCAGAAGAAGTGGCTTAGCAAGAATTATTTGACTTATTTCCCATTTTTATGTATAAATAATCTGAGTGTGCATAATAAATTAATAAGTGCATCTAAACATAGACCACTTGATTGCTTTATAGTTTCATTCAAATATTGTCCGAAAGGAAAAAAACAACCAAACTATCTGGCCACCCGAAAAGAGACTTGATGACATCCTTGGTTAATTTGCAGCCAATGTTGTGGCACACATTTTAGTTTCTGGGAGCATTGGTATGGGATGTGAGTGTACATGAATCCATACAAGTTTTCTTAACACAGGCAAGGCTACGTTTTATGAAGTTAAATGATGGCAATTACAGTGTGATGGGGACATTTACTGCCCTAACTCTCATGCCTCTGAAAAGTCTGTGAAACAGAGCCTTAAAGCTAATCTGCTCCATCTTTACCTACAGAGCTCAGTGACTACGAAAAGCTACTTTCCTGAAACTCACCCTTCAAAGATGGAAAGATCTCTTGGAATTCAAGCTTCTACAAGGTGGCTGCCTGGAGTTTCCATTTTTGCCTTCTGCAAAGCATCAATCAAGCCCTGCCCTTTCAGCCACTGAACACATAAACACTCTTTCTCCTTAACTGAACTTACTGCCATGATGAACTTGAACTCTGAGATGCACAAGAGGAGACTATGTTTTAACAGCTGCTTTTACACTGCAGCCCTGGAGTTACTGCTTCCAAGACAGCTGGTTCTGATAAGCCTCTGTTTTCTGATAAGCCCTGTTGTCTCTATGCCCAGCTGTCAGGGAACACCCCTGAAGTGTTCCAAAACAAAAGCACAGAAGAGAAACGGGGCAAGGGAATGGGACTCACTGGATGCAAAGGCATCCTACACAGGGGCCCCTCATGTGCTGACATAGGTTTTTCTCCCCAGTTTATTTTTGTAAGTTTGTTGATTCTTGGCTAGTTGAGTAATAACTGCTAACGATGTTGTGTTGCCTGAGGTTGCCCTGTCCACCAGCCACAGGTAGCTGTTTAAATTTATAGAGTAATTAAAATTAAATATAGTTTAAAATGCAGTACCTCTGTTGCACTCAGTCATACTTCAATCACTCAGTATTAGCCACGTGTAGCTTCCATAGTGGAAAACAAAGAGGAAGGACATTTTCCATCATTGTAGGAAGTTACTAGAAGGCATTGGCCAAGGCATAACCTCTTTCTAACAGGAGAAAGGGGATGCAGGTCTGGCTAAGAATGGCTTTGTGGGCTCAGCCCATATTATCTCCCACACTACTTCCTGCACATTCTTTTCTTGGCTGCCAACGTTCTACTTAATAAATTTCTGGAAAGGGAAGTAGTGGTCACTAAAACCATCCATGAAAAACTTTAGAGGAAGCATAACAAGAGACAAAGTGGTAGTGTGGCAATCACACATTCCAGATTTTTTTTTATTGGTACCCATTAAATAACAAAAGGCGGAATGTACCTCAGCCACAACTCCCCACACTTGTGGGAAGGAGGCTGAGGATCCCAGCAGGGAGAGGCAGAAATGCAGTCCCCCCACTCAGACCACTGAACTCCGATCTGCATTCTAACATAAAGGTGAAGAGAAGCACATTGAGATAGGAGGTTGTTAAAGATTTCGTGCTAGCAGCAATGGAGCACTGGTCACTGAAAACGCCTGGGGAATCGCACATTTAAAAGGAAAGACAGGACGGACAATTTACTGAACAAGGATCGTAAGCAGTTGTGAAGATACATGCATGCCCTAAGAGCACTTTGCATTTGTATTTTTATGGTTGCAGTGAGACTGCTGGTGGGCGTAGGAGGAAGGTCATTTTTAATAACATGTGCAGTTACTTCTATTCGTTTAATACCAAGTTTTCTTTCCCCACTAGAATGAAGAGCTCTGATTTTGTCATTAAAATTCGTGATTTTTTTTTTTTAAGGAATAGCTCAAAGTTTTTTATCCCATGATAAAAATCTTCTTCAACTGCCTTTACTAATCAGGATTCCCTCCCAGACAATTAGACTTTGGACTCAGCCTCCACCTCCCACTCCGCATTCCAAACTTTCCATTCCTTAGGGATACCAGAGGGCGACGTGATGACGTGGGTCAGTGAGGGACCTGCACTCCTCCTCAGGGTCTAATAACCCTCCTACCCTGCTCCCCCAACCTCCGGACCTCTTAAACTGTAAGAATAGAAATCTGTCAAGCTGTCATGAAATATCAGCTATCAGAAAGCAGAAACAGAGTCTGATAAGCACGCACTCGCTGTAAATACTAAATTAATTAATTAAATAATTAATTAATGCCAGCTAAATCTGATCTCCAATGAAACAGATGCAGGCCAGTGTTTTGCTTGCTTTGAACACATTTAAGATGCATGATTTATAGAGTTTTAATCTACATTGAATTTAGGTGAACTTTGTAATTTCATATTTTGTCATGTTTTGATTTTTAGAAACTCTTATTTTTTATACTCCATATTGATAGAGCCAAATAATGTGTTTCTCATTTCCTTTTTGAAAAGGCACTAGCAGCATGTATGTCTTTGTTAGCAAAAAATCTTAAAAAATGCATATGCATTTAATGTGATATCCCTTTTGGTCAGAATGTTTATATCATCGTCCTCATTTGGCTAATGTGATACCTTTAAAATGAAAGAGATAGATGTTTTGCCATTCTCTAAACATAACCAGTTGTTTGACGTGTTCATAACTACTGGTTATAGAATTAACCAACAACCCTAATCACTTTGGATTTTGTGTTGTTGGAGTCAAATGCACGCCAGTATTAGCTAAATGAAATTGGGGTCACATGCTGCTTGAGTTCTAAGTGTACCCTTTATTGAATATAAAATAGGAGTGTAAAAAATTCATCCTGAACATGGATTATTTCTTTCTATCAAAATAAGCAGGATTAATATAGTCGGTATGTTGACACTGAACTTGTCTGACTAAACTAGATTATCACATAGTCGAATCGATTCATAGAAACACCTCCCTCATGGTGTAACGTGGGTGCTAAATATGATGGGCATTTGTTTACCTTGTCTTGGGACACAGTAAATACTCGGTAAAAATGAGTTATCTATCATCATCTGATTTGGAGAAGTTAACCTTATTTAGTGCCTTACAAATAAACCTCAGACTCATATGGGGACTCTCTTATTTTGGTCCTTTCACACTCAATTATTCCAATAAACTGCATTGCAAAATGAAGCTTTCGTAGGGGAATGTAGGACCAATAGGCACTTGGGGTCATCTTTATAACATTTTTTGGAAAGTGTAGCCTCTTTGAAAACTTCTAAGTTTATTGTTAGAGTATTTCTTTAACAGGAAATGTTTTCTGAAATGTATTGCAGGTGAACAAGTAACAAATTGACAAATACTGAAAGTCATTTACAGTTATCTGAACACAAAGAATAGGACTGATCACATTTTTGCACATTAGCTTAACTTTTTCCTGCACCTAGATTCTCTAATATGTTCAGGACCATTTCTTCTAATTCTTTGTTTGGTCTTCTAGCTATGTTTTACCATTATCCACAAATTCAATAAATGGAGCATTCATATTTCATAGTGGAGATTCAATGAATCAGGACAGCAGTATTAGAAAAGAAAAGAAAACAAATGTTAAGCCTCATATATTTTTGTTTATATCACTTAAGCATCATTTCCAATTCAGAAATATTTTTTAAAGTATCCCTTTAAATTACATATTTTAAACGACTGAATTACATAAAGCTTGCCACTTGGCTACTCAGATTTGGGAGAAGGACCGTACAGGTTGGAGAGATTTACAAAATTAAAAGCGTATCTTTTTAAACCCAAAAGAAACCTATACATGCATTTCTAATCCACATAGCCTATATGCCTTTACAGTCTGCTGATAAACACTAATTTTAAAACATTGTATATAACATTAAATAACATGGAAAAAATAAATATGTTTTATTATATAAACACATAGAAATCTGTACTGGTAAAAATATTCAGATAATACTAGGCTTGGCTGCTTAAAGCTGTATTCAGAAAAGATGGCAGTGATATTTACATGTTTTATTTTTGCTAGAAATAGATGTAGTGAGGTGATAAAATACTGATGACAGACATTTGCTCTTCTTACCTACAGAAGTTGCAAACTTTAATGTGAAAATGAGGTAGACACAAATTTATAAGTTGGCCAGGCAGAAAGAAAAGCACAGTTCCTCTGTGAACTCATAAATTCTTATTATTTGGGTTGACAAGCATTATTCCAAAGCACCTAAAGTAAGGCTCAGAGAACACTTTTAACTTTTGGGTTTGTCATGAAGAACTCAAAAAAACACAATTTCTCCTAAGGAGAATCACCAATGATGGGCGGCAATGCAAACAGGAATGTTACAGGGCCATCTTGGATGGGTCACACTACATAGAAACCTTTTTACTTTCATCTTCTCCATGAATCAGCTTACTGTAGAATGCTGTGGATTTTTAATCTACCTTTTGCAGTGGTTTGCAGTTTAGAGCTTTCTCTCCAATTTATCCCTCTAGACATGGGACACATGCATCTGCTTCTGGCTGCCTGCAGGACCTGACTGCAAAGCAGATCACCGTGAGAACCTTACTTTAAAAAGAAAATGTTACTGAGTCAGAGTAAAAGGGCACCTTAAAAAAAGGGAAGAAAAGATTGAATCTTTGGAGGGTGTTCTTCACAATCATGATTCTAAGTCTGCAATGACGTGAGCCAAAACTAAGAGTCTAAAATGGGTACTTGAACCTTATGTTCACCAAAACTTCATTTCAGACTCTGGAAGCCATGCTAAAGCTATGTAATGATTGCTGAGCTAGGCCGTCTCCACTGTGACCTTGGAAAAGGCCTACTCCCAGGGCTGCGCTTGCTCCGGGCACTATCTTCTGTGAGGGAGTACTTGGGAGAGAAAGCAACCCACTGAAGGACTAATTGCTATCTTTGGTCTCTAATAAATCTAGTTTGTTTTCTGTTGAATGCGACCTGTTAGCACCTCAAATATACTTTTTGTGACTCTGAATTTCACTGTCAGTTACAATGATGAAGCACCATGGAAGTGGCTTTATGGCTATTAAAACAACTCACTGAGGTATGCTTAAATTTAGAAATTGTACCAAGGCATCCACAAAAATCAACATAAAAGTGATAAAAGTGAAATCAAAACCGCACAGGAAGAATCTGAAAGACTGCCCTCATACACATATATTTTAAGTAATATATTAATTACCAATATATCTATTTAAATAAAATGATTTTGATGTAATTTAAAAAAAATCACGATTAAAAGCCCTGCAGAGTGGCCTTGCTCCTAGACTGCAGAGGCATTTAAATATATACTCGAGTAATGACCACTTTGCAAAGGAAGCATTATAATTATATAGGCAGCAGACACATTTTTCAAATCCACGTGTTTGCTTCTATGCATAACAGAGCATTAGAATCTTTCTTTCTCTAAGTGTTTCAGAAAACTGTGTACAGGCCTAAGGAGCACAATAAAAACAGAACAACAACAAAAACAAAAACAACCCTTAAAGTCATCAGTTAAATTAATAAGCAGATTATATTTTAAAATGTAAGTGTTTAGCCTCTTAAAATACCTGTGGGAGAGGGTAGTGATCTTCTGTAAAATATCTGAGCTTTATTTAGAAAGCCTTCAAGGAAGGGAATGCTTTGAAAACTTATATATATATAAAATAGTGTGTATATTGTATATTATTATACCACAATACATTATATTATCATTATATTATATATACACACACAGAATACCCTAGGAGGGTTAAGAGATGTTTTTGGTCAAAATTAAAGAGGCACAGCTTTTTAGAAAGCTAGACTTTTTGAAACATAACTTGTGTGTTGTAGTGGTTGGTGAATGAATGGGGCGAAAATATAATGGGCTCAAGAGGAAAATTTCAAGAAAAATAGTATGTAACAGGTGACTTAGGGGAGTTGGGAATGTCAGGACTCTCCTGACATTCTCAGGTAATATGATATTTTTCAAAATGTTCATTTGGGGAGGGTGCCAGTATAGCAGACAAAATGTTCCAGGTGAACCAAACATCT